CGTAACAGAAGTATGTGGACACCTCACTATTTTGGCTTATCAAGCTTGCCAGTTGACTCGGAGCTGAAGCACCATTATTACACAAATATTCGAGTGGAAAAACCCTGGAATAATTGTTCTTCCGAGAATTTCAGAGAGCTTTTAATTTTTTTATTTCAGAAAAAAGTCTTCTTTGTAACAAAAGTATGTGGACACCATACAAAAAAAGAATATGAATGAGATCAGTAATTAATTGGCCCTCCTGAGTGCCTGATTAGCTCGAACATTCTATTAGACATGCTCTGAACCAAATTTGTGATGGCCGTGTCATCGATGGAGTCCCGAAAGCCTGGATCGCCGCCTTCAGTTCTTCCACGGTGTTGTACTGGCGGTTGTTGAGGTAGACTCGCCGAGCCATGATTCCCCGTAGGTTTTCGATAGGGTTGCAGTCAGGAGAACAAGCTGACCAATCCATCACAGCAACACCATGGGGTTGGAGCCATTCTTCGTGGACCGTGGGGCATGGACAGATGCACTATCAAGCTGGAAGACATGTGTCCTGCCTCGCGCACCTCCGAGAAAGGGCAGGAGGTATAACTCAAGCACTTCCTGATATTCCTGACTACCCATCCGGTATGAAGGAAGCGCCAGCCCCAGTTTGCCGCTGCTTCCAAAGCCGCCCCAAACCACTAATGTGACTCCTCCAAAGTGTCGCTTTGAATGGATTAGCGGTCGTGACGAAGATCTATCCTGTAGTAACGGACCGCTCAGATTGAACTTTTTCCATCACTGAAGGCGATCTAAACGAAAACCATGTGGAAAATGAAGTCTGAACTTAACTTCAGAACCTCTCGAAAAGTTGTGCTCTGTCCACGAAGTTGCCATGTTCCTACGTGCGAATTTCAGCCTTGCGTTTAAGTGTTGAGCATTTGAATGGGGCGCCTTTTTCATTACCTCTCGTGTTATGTGCTCATTTGATGGAATGGACCGTGATATCGTCATCCTCGAGACCGCCAATCCCATTGAAGCACGAATTTGATTCAGATAAGGTAGAATTCGAGGCCATTCGAGCTGTGCCATTCTGTGATCTTGAGCTGTCAAGCTTCGAGGTCGTCCCACTATCCGAGCTGAGGATTTCCCAATGCATGTAGGAGAGCGTCCGAGCTGACGTGCGATTTGTCTATTCGAATGTCCGGTTTCATGAAGAGCCCTGATTTGCGCTTGTTCATCTTCAGAGAGAAGTTTACCACGTACAGGCATGACGACGCAACGGATA